CGAGCGGTCGGTCACATCCACATTTTTACTAACTCCCGAACCATTGGTCCAATTCGTGCCATTTTGGGATATGTTGTTCCCCTGAATGGATTGTTTATTAAAATGTAACTTTTATTAAGATCCTATGTATAGTTTTAAAGTTATGGAAATGCATGAAAGTATATTTTTTTAGCTTGGAGATTATTGAGCTGATATAACGATTAACTCAATTATCGCCTAAGCAGAGGGGAGGAATGTACTGTAATTAATGGGTGTGCTTTTACTGTACAATTGTAACTGATTGGCTGTTGTATTCCCATTGTCAGTGCCCCACAATGTCCAGTGGGTGGTAACATTCCTATAAGAACCCGCATAAAAGCAGCTGCTTTGTGGTCATTAAATCAGTTCTGCTTAACCCTTCAAAACGTAGCCTTGTCTCGTTATTGAAAAGGAACCTGCTCAGCATAATCACTAGCTCTTTTAAGAGCTCTGCTTCTCTCTGACCCAGCGGATGGGATAACGCAACTCCACTGCAGTACAGCATCTTGCTGGGAAGAAGGACGTCTCCAACGGCTGATACCCCCTCTCCAACTGGGGTAGCCGTTACAGTTACCCATAGAGAACATGCGTAATATCCTCCCAAAGCTTTCCTATCATTAAGATCTCAGCTATGGAGGCGGGACAAACAACAGCGAAACCAGCATGGCATGGGATGAAAAAGGTAAGTAAAAACACCAATAATCTAATCGGAGGACACCCACACACACACACAGACACACCCACACGCAGACAGACAAACACACAGACAAACACACACACACAGACATACACACACACACACTTAATTCTAATCCACCCAGCCTCCCTACCTTTTGAAGATCTGAGTGGACTTTCCCTGGGGTCCAGTGGGGCTTAGATTCCTGGGTGCGAGGGAGCAGTGATCTTCCTGTAGCTCCTCTCTGCTCCCTCGCACTATCTGACATCATATTCAGGCTCCCAGCATCATTACACGGTGCAAGGAAGCAGAGAGGAGTTGCAGGAAGACTGCTCCCTCGCACGCTGCCCCAGCTTGCCGCCTTCATACCTTCCGCAGGCCGCCTCACAGCTTCCTGAGCCGGCCGCCTCCATACCTCCCAGGGTGGCCAGCTACAACGCTCCTTTGCGCACTGCCCCTGCCTGCCGCCTCCGTAGCTCCCGCAGGCGGCCAGCTATACAGCTTCCTGAGCGGGCAGGCAGCCTGCCGGCTCCATTGTTTGCTTGGCTGGCCATTTTAAGTAAAAGGCTGACAATTCCCAGACACCAGGGCAAAATTTCTAGTCGCCATGCCGACCTGGGATTTGTCAAACCCTGCATTAGCATGTCTAAAAACTAGGTATATACAACCTCAGATGAATGACAACACATGATGAATTACACCATGACATGATTTAGTTAATAAAAATAAAGCCAAAATGGAGAAGCCATGTGTGAAAAACTAAGTACAGTTGCTTCCTTAGGAATTAAGAGGCTAAGTAGCAGACAGGTTCTGCTAATCTAATGCCCTTGATTGTCAGAAAGTGTGACCACCTTTAGAAAAGCTGAAGTTTTAGCAGTTTGCTGGTCTGGTGCCTTCAGATGTGTGTAAACACAATGCCATGGAGGAAATACATCAGCAATCATCTTATATAAGTAATTGTTGCTGCCCATCAAACTGGGAAGGGCTATAAGACCATTTCCAAACAATGCAAAGTCCATCATTCTACAGTGAGAGATTTTTCAAAAGTGGAAAACATTCAAGACAGTTGGCAATCTTCCCAGCAGTGGACATCCTAGCAAATTCACTCCAAAGGTCAGACCATGCAATGCTCAGAGAAAATCTGAAAAACTCAAAAGTTCTATTTTAGACTCTATAGACCTCAGTTAGCATGTTAAAGTCCATGACAGTACAATTAGAAAAAGACTAACAACTATGGTTTGTTTGGAAGGGTTGTCAGGTGAAAGCCTCTTCTCTCAAAAGATAGCATGACAACAGACCTTAGGTTTGCAAAGTAGCATTTAAACAAACCACAAGACTTCTGGAATATTGTCCTTTGGACAGACAAGAGTAAATAGGAGATGTTTGACCATAGCGCACTGCACCATGTTTGACGAAAATCAAACAGACTATCACCACAAACATCTCATACCAACTGTCAAGCTCGGTGGTATAAGGGTGATGATTTGAGCTTGTTTTGCAGCCACAGGATCTGGTAGACTTGCAGTCGTTGTGTTGACCATGAACTCCTCTGTGTACCAAAGTGTTGTAGAGTCAAATGTAAGGCCATCTGGTCCGACAGCTCAAGCTTGGACAAAACAATAATCCAAAACACACCAGCATATCTACAACAGAATGACTGAAAAATGAAAGGATCAAGGTGTTGCAATGACCCAATCAAAGTGTAGGCCACAACCCGATTGAAATGCTGTGGTGGGAGCGGTGCAAAAACAAATGCCAACATACCGTAATAAACTGAAGCAACATCGTAAAGAATAGTGGGACAAAATTATTCGACAATGATGTCAGAGACTTACAAAGTCATACAGAAAACAATGACTTCAAGTTACTACTGTTAAAGATGGTTTTACAAGCTATTTAATCATAAGGTGTATTCCATTTTTCACACATGGCTTCTTCATTTTGGCTTTATTGTTAAATAAATCATGACCTCATTTTAAACCCTGCTAAGGAGCAGATGATTGTTATGTCCTGATATGTAAAACCATATAATTCAAAGAGGATGTACTTTATTTTTACCTTTAAATGTGTGTAGAGAGATAGAGAGAGAAAGCACAGACACTGGCTGACAATACTTACTATGACAGCACCCAGTGATGTGTAAAGGGGATTTTTCTGATACCATACCATCTGCGTATATGTTCAAGCTGCAAAACTGGCAAATTACTCCAAAACAGTATGATTATTAATGTTCTATACTCCATAAATATTTACGTAAATGAGGAACTGATATGTATTTGGAGGTGGTTGTTCAGGTGTAAAGAGATTTAAAAATCTAGTAGAGTACGTTTTGTACAAATTGTACACAATTTCATCTAACCCGTTATGAAGGATTTTTTTTTTTTACTTGCTCAGTAAGGAATAAGAATTATAAAGGTACTATTCACTACAGTATAATTTTAATGAATCTATGTATCTTATACACCAAGTATTGAGTGATGGTGGTAAGACAATGTTGTGCACTGCAACACTATGGTTTAGATAGTATTTTAAAGTCAATGCTACAATTAAAGAAGTATTTTACAAATTACAAGTGCATGGTGGTACTTTCTGGGACACAATGCACATTGCTTAGCAATGGTTGATAAACTGTTTTCCATGAACAGTGTTTAAAATCTTAACCCCCAATTTCCATCATACAGTATTTTTCCAATCTGTTTCCTAGCCGATACCTGGGGTTCCCAGTTACCATTTGATTGTTGGTGCTCCCCGCTGTCACCTGGGGCCAGAATTATTAGCCTCAGACTAAATGATACTCAGTTTGCAGAGCTAAAAGTCAAACAGGCATTTAAATGGGAATTTAAATCCCCATTGTTACAATGCAGTGTGAGCAGGGTTAAATTACTCACACAAGGAAGTCTTAGGTAACATTGGATACCTGGGACTCCCCTCTATCAGCTGGGGCCATTTTTTGTGGCCCCAAGCTTTTTAATGAACTGCATGCTGTGCTGAAGGTACTGCCTGTAGCTGTCTAATTCAAAGAGAACACTGGAGCTGAGCAATCAAGAACAGCTAGTCATGTTCTTACAGGATATGGTGCTTAAAGGATCCCAAGGTCTGAACAGACCCTCGAGAGTCATCCTCAATGGCCCAATGCAATTCTGATCAGTGCTGGCTTTTTCAGTTGCCCAGCACAGATCGCATTGCATTGGGCACACTATCTTCCGTAAGAGACAGGAGACTGCCATACTGAAAACAGTCAGTAGATGGCAGCAACTTAACACTGTTTTAGTTTACAATCCCTTTAGTAATATCAGTACTGATATTAGCAGAGGGAAACCTTTGGAACTCAATGTAAATGAAGGATTATGATTTGGTTTACAATAAGTATTAGGTTTATGATTGGGTTTAGAAATAATTGTAGTATTAGGATTAGGTCACAGATTAGCATTTGTGTTTTGTGAATTGTGTTTTTTTTTTTTGCATTATACTTTATAATAAATGAGAATGTATATATGTATATGCCACATCAAATTAAAGCCCTTTTTGTCCTTTAAAAAAAAAAAAAAGAAAAAAAGAAAAGAAAGGGATATAATGTGTTGGTGCAATAAATGAGAAAGATGTAAACTGCGGTTTAACACAAACAGCAAAAAACTGCCTGTATCCTTAAAGGAACACAATAGTGTCTGTTTAGGCAAGTGTCCCCCACGCCAGTCTTGTGGCTGGCTCAATAGGAAAGCATTGGGTGGCTATTGCGCATGCGTGGCCAAACGCTGCACTACACCAATCAGCATCTTCTCCTAGAGATGCGTTGAATCAATGCATCTGTACGTGGAATGTTCAGTGATCATGCAAAGTGTGCAGCACTGACAAGGAAGCACCTCTAGTGGTTGTCTGAAAGACTGCCATTAGAGGTAACTAGTCGGCAATGTAAACATTGCGTTTTCCCTTAAAAGGCAGTGTTTACAGTGGTAAAGCTGCAGGTACATGCTATAGACACTGCTTAATGTAGTTGTTCTGGTTACTATAGTGTCCATTTAAGTGGAAGACAAGCTTCTGAAGCTGTGTTATTAAGGCATCAATAGTAGTTGTAGTCTGTGTATGCATCATGCCCACAAAATACAAGGTAACCAACCACCAGCTGAAATAATGTTAACAAGCAATTTCTATAAAGAGAATCATTTTTCTTGCTGGGCAATAACCTATGTGATATGATCAGCATTTCTACAGAGACTAACGTGAGAGGCCAGACTGGCTGAGCTCAGCTACTTCCTGCTCTTGGGAAAGCTAGACAGAAACTGCAAATCCTTTGCAACAAACGCAGGCATTTCAAAGGTGGATAACATTTTATTTTTGCATTGTTCATCCATTTTCCATAGAGTGACAACTTCAGCCCTTTAAGTGCATGAGTTATGACAAACTTAGACTTATATATTGCAAATGGCTATACAGTACAACGCTGCAACCAACAAAATCATTAAATGTATAACTATAATTCTGTCGAAGCTGCATTTGTTGTAAGAGGTAGCTGCACCTCTTACAAAGATACAGAGAAATTGTATCACACTGGTTCAATATATCCAGTACTTGATGTTTAAAGGCAAAAATATGTAAATCTGCATTCATGAGATAATGCAACAATTTGATTTATTTTGTAACATAAGAATTTATTTGACCAACAAATGTATAAAATTCAGTCAGTACCATTAGACTTTAAGGATAAAGAAATAATGCATGTATAGAACAGGGGTTGATGTCTAAACGACAGTCCATATCCTTCACAATTAGATATCTTTCCCTTTAACAAAATAAAATGTAACGAGGGATTGCAATCATGTCTATGTCTCATACCATAAATATAATTTGCAACGATAAGAGCCAGCACAGTATTGGTCACATTCAGGTGTCTGGATATATAGCAGCAAAAACCCATGGAGCGTTTTGGATAAAGGATTCTGTCCACACAGAGGGTCTAATGGACATAACATTTTGGGGTTTGTATTAGAATTGACACCATAGGTAATAAATATATATATATTTTTACAGGTGAATTATTTACATGCATGTTCTCTCTTTTAACATCTATCAACAGTGGTGCGAATGGTGAGGGTTGCAGTCCTGTTGACAAAGAAGTTTGGTCATAGTAATCAATGTAGTATTCTTATAACTGGATAGGTAAGGAGTTAAATTGGCAAGACTTGGGGAAATTAGGGTAAGGATTATTGGGCAACATTTAGGATAGAATGGTATCCTACCTGACAATTCTGAATCCAGCAAAATCTAAAATAAAAATACTGTTCTATTTAATTAAGTGTAGTGGTTATGACACCAGTAGTGCATTAGAGCCCGCTGAGTCAAACCATTTTCAGCAGTCGCTCTCAACCCGTGAGCTAAGCCCTGCATTAGTTCTGGAGAGCTGTTGTAACTTCTGTTGCTCCTGCCATGGTGGTGAATGCAGGGGGCATAGGCTGGTGGACCCCAGGTAAGAACTTCAACCCTTTTTAAAGTTTGATATCCTACAATGTGGGTCGACAGGGCACTCCTGGCACTATATCCACTACAGTGAGCCAGAGTGGTTATAGTGCCTGAATGTTCATTTAAAACCACACACTGGCATCACAGCTACCTTCTGAAAAGTCAAACTGGGCATTTCATACAAATTAAGCTCCTTTCTCCAACTACACCTTGTAGACATGCAAGGTCATTACACTCATAGCAAAAGGCCACTTGCATGAAATGCTTAGTGCTTCTTTAGACAGCATTTGTGATGTAAAAGTACAGTCTTATTGTTTCAGTACATCAGAATATACATACAAACACATGCACGAAACACAGCACTTCAGGGACTTTATTAAGAGGAGCATTGTTGCCCTATTGTTTTTAAGCAGATATATCAATGTTTTTGCCATATCACAAGACAAGAGAAGAGCTCCTGTGTTAGGACTGAAACATAAACATTAATAGTTTGCTGTATTTCTGTCTCCTTACAAAAATATCGATGCAATTCTAATCTTGATAAAGTCCTTTGAGGGCGCTCTTGCACGGATTTGCACCAGGGCAATTATATTGTCTAGTGTGAGGCACTAACATGACTTTATATATTTGCTGGATTTAATATAAAAAATATTTTCTCAGACTTGACACCTCAATTTTAAAAGAAAATCAGACTTATAACAATTAGAGATTACCGATCATATCTCAGAGTTCAGGAAACTGAAAAAGTGGTTGCTAGTTAGAGCATTTTATACATAACAGGGGGAGTAATAAACACACCAAAATCCAAATTAGACTGTGAATAGACACAGAGAAATGTTTGTTAGGTGCTCAATGATATTTAGTTCCATCAACCATCAAAATAAATACAATGAATAGAAGAATGTGGCTTTTTCAACTAAATGTATTCTATAAAAGACAGTCAACTACAATGTGGCAATAAATAACATAAAAATAAAGATATTTATTAGAACTGCTTTTAGACAATTGTGTTTCAGTATAGAAAAAAAATTGTAACCAGTCCACGGGAAAAAAAAAAAACAGGAGGAGTGGGTTCTTTTTGGAAATGCTGTCGCTATGAGCAGAATGGGTTAAGAAAATATACTTTTACTCATATTGTATAAGCTTGCACTCCTTTATCGACGATACAGTTACCTGCAGGTATCAAGAGAAATGTAACGAAAAATGCTTGAAAACATTCTGTTTTTTTAAATATGGTTTTGTATTTTAAACAAGACAAAATAATCAAACAAAAAAGTGACACAAAATGTGGCATTTCTTTTTTTTGTAGCACAAATAAATGAAGTTAAGAAAGGCGTAAGCTGATGACCAGAGACATTTAAACTAGAAAGGTTGTATAAGAAATAAGCTCATCTATTGTGATATTCAGTTCTTGGCAAACATAAGCAACTTCGTGCAATCCAGCTGCAGGAGACTGCCGCTATCTAAAGGATCAGTCTAACAAGGCCGATCATCTTAGAAATCTGAGTCTATAGAAATAAGCCGCTCAGATGTTGCCAAAAACTGATCCTATGTAAAGACTGCAGCTGCTAAGGTCACAATCTTTTGATATAAAGCTCTGATACAGTCACCTAAACTCTACCATCTCTGTTGGGCTGTATTCTAGATCTATCAGTAGCTATATACAACTTCTCATTTATGCAGGCATGAGATATTGTACCAGTCCATTACAATCACCAGGAACCAGTCACAAACGATCTGACAAAGGAAACAAGTTAAAAATAAACAAAGTTCCTGTTTCACGGTGCTTCATTCGAGCATGTTGAGCCATGCTGCCAATTTCACGATCACAGTGCATAGTATCCTGATGATATGGGTGGTAATAGATTGTTGGAAAGGTTCCTCCTTATCCCACTGCATTTGGTAAACATATCCAGTAGGCCCTATCATGCATTTATCATTGTTATTGCACAATACATGAGGACCTGAGAGATCTTGGAAAGCATAAGAGAAAAAAAAAAGGAAAATGGAATTTCATCCTGACGCCTGCATTAATCCAGTATGACTAATAAAGCATGTCAGCTGCATGTGCTGAAGCAGCTATCAACATGCGCCCACAATGCACACTAGTAAAATGCAGTAAAAAGGAAGTAGTCTTCATCGTGTTTAAATCACCTCTATTCAAAAGGTTAAAGTTCAAAGACTCAAAGGATCAAAGTGCTCATTTACTCAGTAGGACTAGCTTCTTCTAGAGGGATCTGCACTGTAGCATCAACATGTATCATCTGTACAAAGAGAAAAAATAATAGATTATATCAGCATTTATAGTACAGGAACTTGATAATGTAAACTGAGAAAACAGAGAAGAAAAAAATTTTTTTTAATTAAATAATGTGAATCACCAGATCCACTTCAGTTTTAGGTACACACTTAATCTATATATAGATGTCAGTAAATACATAAAATGTTCAGGTGAAGGATGCAACTTGTAAACTGTTATGATACAGATGAATACTATATATGTGCAAATCATATGGATTACACCTTTGGATAGGTATATATTGTATAATCAAGATATAGTCCATATAATTAGCACATGACAAATCCACTTTAACAGGTCTAAATTGCATGTTCAAACACACTGATAATTGTCAACACTGTCTTTTCTGAGAAGACAGTGTTTACATTTGTCTCCAAGGCCAGCTTAAGTTGCTGCCACTCAGACATCCAGTAGACACCCTTCCTATTGCAGTCCCGATGTTCTATGTCTTCACGCTATGTAAAAGCTGACATACTAGCCCCAAAAAACCTCCTATATGGGGAAGCATTGGATTTGCTGAGATCATCTGTAGTGAAGGAGCGTCGGCCATGGCGAGACCAGTGCACACCAGGGAACTTTATAAAGGTTTATAATCTCTTTATTTTTACTCATTAAAGGGTCCCTAATATCTAAAAATCTATAACACACTAAAGTTGGAAATACACATTGTATTCTAAACATTAATGTGTTCCTTTAAACTAGTACACCTGGATTCAGAATTTTAACTGACTTTTTTTTCCTCTCTCTTACTGGGGGAATTGGCAAACAGTGGCGGCTCTAGACTTTGTGAGGCTTTAGGCGAAACAGAAACATGAAGTCCCAACTAATACCCAAAATGAAAATAAATAGGGGTTCGTTGTGTGTATAAGGTGCTGTAGTTATATTGAAAAACAGGCTTGCAGCGCTGGATACAGAGAGCTAATCTCTATTCATTGTCCAGAGGCTTTCAGAGGAGCAGAGAGAGGGAAGGGGGGCTGTGACAGGGTAGGGGGGCAGAGAGGGTAGTAGGGGCTTATAAATACCTTTTATTAATTTAATTATTCCCTGGTGGCCCAGTGTCTTTGTCCTCTGGCCTGCAGCTTCGCCGGGTGCAGAGCTGCAGACCACATGGTACGTCTCGAGATCTCCAGACGTAAGAGCGTTGCCATGGTAACCGGCGGAAACGCTCTGATACACTGGAGATCACGAGGTCCGACAGAGCTGCAGACCCGGGGGCTGGCTCTCAGTCAGGGCAGACTGACTGGAGGGGCCTCGTACCCAGCAGCATAATGGGCAAGCCGCCGGCCCCCCTCCTGTGTCGGTTGCTCGGTCGGAGACCAAAGACCCAACATGTCACTCTGCCCTAAGTAGAGGCCCCAATCAGTGCAAGGCCTAAGACAGCTGCCTAAATCACCTAATTAGAGAGCCGCCTCTGTTGGCAAATGAGTATGAATTAATAGCAGAAACCAATATCTGTGACCTTTAATATTATGCAAACAACAAGGAGGTAGAAGGGGAAACAAAGAAGCTAAAATGAGTAGCATTATGTTAAAAGCTTATGGATGTTACATCATCTAGTACAATTTATCTATGGACTAAAAAGGGCTTGAGGAATAACTCAATTTATGAAGTCACAATCCTTTCTAGTCCAAGTAAAGATAACACAATATCATTATGTATATATTCATACTATATCATTAAAGGCACACTACAGGCATCTATGAGGTAAATTCAGTGTCTCCATGCAGAGGGTGAAGACACTGAATGGCAGTGCTGCACTACAAAAAGCCTGAAGGGAACGATTAAACTCAACAGAACAAATACAATAAGTTGTAATTGTTCTGGTGACTATAGCATCCATTTAAATCACTTTGTTTATGCAGCTCTAGTCACACCTCCCTGAATATAATGTGCACAATCTTCCTAAACACTTCCTGTAATGTAAGATCTAATGTTTAAACTTCCTTTATTGCATATTCCAGCGGTTTCCATCCACGACAGGCACAGTGATTATAGCATTGGGGAAACATTACTGCTCAACAGAGACCGGTTAAGTGCCGCGGTTGTTTAAGACCGCGACCGGGCCCCTGAAATGTCTGCCGGCTGGGAGGAAGTGACCGTCTGTCACCTCCTCCCAGCATCATGCAGGGAGAGAGCGCGGGAGGTAGAGGAGGCAGCCGCAGCGTGAGGGGAGAGGACCACTGCAGGAACTGCTCCAGACCCCTCACTCCCAGCAGCAACAGCAGGACTCCAAGCCACCCTCCTGGACACATAAAGTAAGCCAACAGGAGGGTGGCTGGATATATAAAAAAATATTGTATGTGTGAGTGCGTGCAGGAGTGTGTGTGTAGGAGTGTTTGTATATGTCAGTGTGATTCTGTGTGTGTGCACACATCTGTGTATGTGCATCTGTGTCAGGGATGTGTGTTTTTAGGTCAGTGTGTATCTGTCATGGTGTGCGCAAGTATCAATGTTTGTGTGTGTCAGGGTTCATGTGTGTATAGGTTGGTGTGTATCCATGTGTGTGTATGTGTCTATATGCCGGTGTATTTATATGTATCTGTGTGTTAATGTGCATGAATATCTGTGTATCTGTGTATGTATGTGCATACATCCAAGCAGTCAAACACCAGCACAACATGCAAGCACACTCCTGCAATCTAACACAAATATTGCATACAAACACACCCCTTATTCAAACTCCAAAAAATATACACACACCCCTTCACTCAAACACAAATACTTCATACAAATGTACATCCGCATTTAAAAGTGAACATTACATGCAGACACACCCCTGCAATCAAAACGCAAACATTACATACAAACACCCCCCTGTATTAAAACACAATAACTATTTACAAGCATCCCTTCAAACACCAACGCTGTACATTACACTATAGCGCCAGTAAATGCCGCAGCACTGTACAGATATACAACCTAGAAATTGTGACTTGGGGTGCCTTGGAAAAATACTGAAATATTAAGGATGCCTTGAACCTAAAAAGTTTGGGAACCACTGGCATATTCTGTTTAATTTAGAATTTCATATCTCCTGCTCAGTTAATAGCTTTCTAGACTCTGCAGAAGCCTCCTGTGGGTCATTAAAATTTCATTTACAGAGCAGGAGATAAAAACTTTTAAAGTTAACATCAGGGGAGTTGTGTCTAGGGAGAAAATGAACGTGATTTAACTCCTAAATGGCATACAATAGCGCTATGAGATTGCAGGGGCATGATATACACCAAAACTGTTTCATTAAGCTAAAGTTGTTTTGATGCCTATAGTATCCTAAGTATAAGATGTAGACTTTTAGGACCCAAACTACTTTCTGTGCTGCAGTTCAATTTAGTGAAACTACTTGAAACATTCGTTGTGTTAGACCATTTCAATTGCTTTTATTTGACTTGTTCATTACAAACCGCTGAAAGCCTGTACATTTTGACAATAAACCTGATTTTCAAAGGGGGTTGAATGATTTTGATTACAATTGTATGTCTTTGTGGTTAAATGCTAGATCTGAGCAGTCCAATAAGCCATTTCTAGGCAGTACTTCTTGAATAGCATAACATGCCAATAAAGCAGTGTATATTACCATATTCAACAGGTAATACCTGTTAAGTCTCACCTATGAGTGGATTAAAAACTGTTCAATATGCCCAAATGAAAAGAAAGCCAAGGTTAGAAAAGACTAATTGGTTATTCAATATTACAAGTAACAGGGGCTGTCAATCTTTGCTTGCATGAAAAGAGATGGAAAATAAATAAATACATGGTCTAAAAGAAGTATGTCAGGTATACTCTGCTGAAACATTGCTCGGCAAACAAGCATTACTCACCATGATACCACCATTTAGTTTTCTTTGGATTTTTGTTGCACGTTCTTACATAAAATGAGTTATCTGGAGGTCGCCTCTAATTAAGGGAAATAAAACAATAGATTCAATTATATTGATTCACATCATCAAAAAAGGATATCCAAGACAAAACAATTATATACTTAAAGGGATATGCATTACTTGACAATTATTTTCTTTAACCCCTCAAGGACCAAACTTCTGGAATTAAAGGGAATCATGACATGTCACACATGTCATGTGTCCTTAAGGGGTTAAACCGGCAAGCAAACACTTTTAAACAAATATACAATCCAAAATAAAGCAATAAAAACTTTGAAAAGTATGCAATAAATGTTTATAAACGTACTATAAACCTTGTCAGATTGCATTGTTGGACGTGTCTCGCAGCTAGGGGAGTTTCTGCAGTCTTAACCCCTCCCCTTTTAGCCACCCCTCTCTGTTTCAGACCAGTCTACTAATGATAGAAATGGGGCATTATTGTACAGCAACAGAACAGAGAAATCGAAACATCAGAGCCTACATTCATATTAAGTTCTGTCTCCCCCTCCCCCCCCCCGTCAGATGTTGTAAGGTGAAGAGATCTTCCAACTGCACATGGGTAAATCTGTCAGGCATGCTCAATGCACTTTTCCAGCATTCCTAGGGATAGGACACTGATTAGTTAGATCAGCGTCCCCCCTGGAGTGAATGTGAAAAGCATAACTAAAGTAAAAAAAATTTATCATTTAACTGCTTTTTAATAAAAAAATAAAAAAAGCTTTTGAATCCATTTAAGATGTAGCAATAAATGCCTAATAAAATGTCACACTAACATTATTACTTAGAATATCCAAAATACAGTTCACAACAATAGCTTTTCTAGATGGATCAATGGCAAGATATCTTGCAGGGAAATTGGCCCACCTGCTTAGACAAGACAATCAGACATTCAATAGTCTTAGACAAGACTTTCAGGGATTCAATATACTAAAGTATTACATGGTAGATTTAGATTATTCTTTCCCGCAGTGAAATACAGCTATGAAACCATCCCGAATACATTCTTTAGTGACCGCCACACCACGGCTTCCATTGGTTCACAATTCTTCAATTTATACGCAATTGTTCTTGTCCATGTGTGAATGCCTCACAATCGCAGATTATAAATAACTGCTCAAGTGCTTAATCCAAAATAAACATTTCTATATATTCGGTAAAGATAAAACTGGAATGAGGCCAGGCACTAGTGAGGTGTAAGAGAAAATGTAATAAAATATATATAGTTTTTTTGTTTTGTTAATAATTGGTATTTAGGTTAACATTTAAGTTTCCAGGGTTTTCATTATTGCACACTGCTCATTAGTGCTTGAAGGCACGGGGAAGATCAAATAAGTTTCTGTGTAGGTGTTTGATTACACATGACTAAAAGTATAAAGTGCCGATGAGTTTTGAGGGATAAAAGATAATTACTACTACAATGGATTAAAAAATAAAGTCAGTTTATCAATAGGAAACATTACATCTTTTAGGGTTACCAGATTAGCAATGAACCCCTTAAGGACACATGACATGTCCTGATTCCCTTTTATTCCAGAAGTTTGGGCCTTAAGGCGTTAATGCATAAAATAAGTGGCATACTCTCTCCCTCCCCCACTTTTTTTTTTTTTTTTAACACAGACGTTTGCAGTAAAAGAGTTGGTGAATTTCAATTGCCTTAAAAGTGCATCATATGTATAAAAGGATGCATTCAATGGTGCATGTGTTTTATGTATGCATTCCATTTTGACATTGAAGTGATGTACAGCATAAGCAGTAGAGGGCATGGGCTCAAACGCCCAGTTATTACACAATCACGCCAGACAAATGTGATTATTAACCACATCATATATATTATAAAAGCAAATAACTCAACTGTGATTCAAATGAAAATGTTGCTCTGAGAACCATAACCACTTCATCTTATGTATGTGGTTATAGTGCAAAGACCCTGTATTTCTCTCTTTTAATAGGTTTATTCCAGGGATAAAAAGATTTTTTAAATATAGGCTGTCAAACAGCCAGCTGGAATATTCTCTTGCTGGCTGGCAATTTCAGTTTTGTGAAAGTACTGTGTCAGATGTCAGCACACACTGCATGCTATCGCAGAAGACACAGTGTCACAACTCTAGCTCCCTAGCTGTCAAGTACTTTCTAACTACCTGATAAAGGCCTCTGCCCTTCCTTCGAAGGAGGGGAAAGAGCCACTCTTGTTGGGAATCTCTGTCCCATCAGATTGAGTGCAAGACATTCTTTGCTCTTGCTGGACTAAAACTCCACATGGTCAGCGAGATTCTGGCTGAGGCTAGTGTGAAGTGATATACACATTGGATTTAGTGGGATATGGAGGCAACCACTTGATAAAAAGCTTATGTGAAATATAAATATATTTGTGAAAATTTTAGTTATGCAATAATAATATGCATTAAACGTATACGTATTTTCAGACTCATTTTTCCTTTTTTTAATTTTTTTTTTTTTAAATCTTTATTTTAGTGTGCAGTAAAAGAATAACATACAAGCTCACATAGCCACGACAGCATCCGCGGGCTTATTATGGTCAAACATTTACATATATTGCCATGACATTTAAAACAGTTGCACTTTTTTAGTATAAAGAAACAGGCTAAATCATAGATTGTGTTGTAAGACTTAGAAAAATACAGGCTAGAAACCCTATGTTAATAAAAGGTAGAGTATACAAGCTTAACCCAGGGATTTCTGTGGCACGAGTATTTTACAAGGAGAGTGAAACAGATGTCTTTTCTACGAGTTTAACCCCTAGGGGGCCCCCCAGTTAGCTAAAAGCACGTTCCCAGCGGGCGTGTGGCAGTCACTGGATATTTACGTGAGGCCTAGACAATTCAAATAAAAACAATAATTATAATCAGAAGAATAAGTCAGCGCAGTCATGCAACTCAGAGTCAATCAGCGGTGGGCCAGTTTAAATTTGAGAAGCGAAAAAAGAAAAAATATATGATAAAAGCGGCCCAGGCTCTGCGCTGCTTGGTATTGCCAGGCTCAGTCAACCGATGCCGCTTAGCGGTCGTTTACCGGAATCCAGCTGCTCTGCTATCCTGCTATGGTGTTTCCAGACGCTGGTTAGGAAGGGTACGTTGTTACCAGTTTGTGTCCCAGGTTTGAGGCTGTGCTGATTTGTGGTCAGGGACCCGACTCTCCACGGCTTGCAAGGTTTGATGCAGGGCTGAGGTTTGTCCTTTGATATTTCCCATCTCCGTGCTGCTGGTGGCTTCGTTGGGCTCTGTTGCTTGCGTGCTGGTAGAGCTTTCGCCACGGGTGCGCGCTGCTGTGCCCTCTGGGGCTTGCGTGGGGTAGTGTAGAGGTTGGCGGTCGGCCAGGAGCTAACCAGAGGTGCCTTCTCGCTCCGGGCCTGTATCAGGGCCGGCATCTTGTAGCCACGGACTCGGGGACTATTGAAGGCCAAGTCCTTCCTTTTCGGGGTAGGTCTGGAGTTCCTGGGGTTGGTGGTATGCCGCCGTCGGGTGGAACTCTGCCTACGTGGTTGATGCATCGGGGTTAATCCCCTGTTGGCCCTGGGCCCAGATGGGCTGGTGTGGAGATTCTTGGACTGAGTTTTCATGGCTTTGCCCAAAGGCAGTCTGGTCCCACTCCAAACTGTGTCGCCTTGTTGGCCCTCCGTACCTCCGATCTCTAGCAGCTTGGATCGCTCTTCCTTATGTCGGGCCGCGATCTTTGCCCAGAAGGCCTCAAACAGCCCGTCTAGGCGGGTAGTGAGGGAGTCGCTTGTGTTGGGGCTTAGTGGTGGAGGCCCGAGGCTGCGTGTCTGCCATTTTGACATGGCGGGCTGCATGCAAGTTCGGTGCGTGGATGGGGTCGGTGTCCGCTTTTAGGGTCCACTGGGGCTTGCCCGTCGAGGTGATTGGGACCGGGATAACCCCCACCGGTCCCAAGGGGGGGGGGGGTAGCCTTTGCTGCGGGTGCTGCATGCGGTTATGGGCTGGGAGAGCGGCCGCCTCTCCATTGCCCTGCTTGGTATAGGCCCCAAGCCTCAGCTTGGTCATTCCGGCGTTATTTCTGGGCGTGTGAGGTATCCCCCTGTTCATCAATGTCTGCCGATCAAGTTGTGATGAATTGGGGATCAGGATTACTTAGTTTGCCCCCGATTTTAGCCAGTAATTGGTCTGAGGCCCAGGAGCTCTCGGTTTGTGCGTCTGCACTGCTGCACAGTTAGGCCACGCCCCCACTCATTTTTCCTTTACGTGTTCGGACAAACAAGTCACATCTGCATAGTGTAACAAAGCCATTATTTCACATGACAATTATCCCTATAATATGATCTATACGCTTGGTATGTTGCAATTGCCCCCACGCTGAAATACTGCCATACAGAATGCGTGTGTCTAATTACAGATTCTAGGAAGCACTGGTTCCAAGTCTCATGCCAAGTGTGTAGTATTTCTGACATTCCAGCCCTTACCACGCTTACAAATGGCTCAATGACGATATTCCATTAGTGGAAGATCTATTATTGTGTAATACACACGTAAATCTAAAGAGTAAAAGCAAGAAAAAACTGTTCACTGCCTAAAACAAATTCAAGGTGATTAAATAATCAAATAAGAGGGATGTATGCCATCTATAATCCTGCTGCATTTATAAGGTCAAAGAAGAATATAATGTTTTAAATGCACGGTTAAGCCATCAATACGAATATATACACACATATATATACATATACATATACATATATACATATACATATATATATATATATATATATATACACACACACACACATACACATACACATACATACATACATACACACACCCATGCACATATATCGAAGAAAGTTCTGATCAGGAACTGAAATGTCAACACTGCTGTTTAACTTGGTTATGATGGAATAAAGGGATAAATCCATTGAGAAGTCAGTAGTGCTGATACACTTTGGATATGTATGTAAAATAAAATTCATATGGGATGCGGAACTCCATTAAATGCCCAGGAGAATTTCAAACTGTAAATTCAAATATCCACCAAAAGTTATTGCACTCATGGGTCTTTATAATTAAAATAATTATATTTATTTACATATCAAACAAATGCATGTGCATACGCACACACAAATCATTCTTACTTTGAGAAGGCAGTTGTGGAAGAACTTAATAAAAAAGTCAGACGGTATCCAGGATACCATTTGAAGTAGCAATTGCAAATTCCATTTTAAACCTGTTTTAATGAGACTTCAGACATGATACAGGGAGCTTGCTGAAGTTAGCAATATAGGATTAAAAAAATGCTTAAAATATATATATATATATACACGGCTATCACGAGGTGTAAAAAAGATGAACCAACTATTTGACATTTTTATATATTATCACCACATTTTTTGCCCATATGCACATCTACAGGGATGTATCATTTCACTTTCTGAGGATGTCTAGAACAAATCCAGGATAATAAATTATTGCAAAATTATTCACTAAAGTGCGACTTTAAAGTGAATTTCAAATTTAAGGTCAAAATAGATGAATAGGAAACATTCTCTAAGTCAGCTGTGCCAGCTACTCTGGCCTTAAATTAGTCTCACTATAGTAAATAACCTTGTTGCGATTTGTTTATACTAAGATGATATATGTTATTTGAGTTCACTTTTTTTTTTTCATTGCTACTAAGTAACAGTAACCTTTTTATGTAAGGAAGGAAATAAAAAGCATTTACCTTTTCTTTGCAGCTAGAAAGCATGCTGATAATGCTAAGACAAACAGATTGCACAGACAGAGCCGGAGACCAATCTTCCGTTAAAATAGATAAACAGATATGACCATTGCTATAAACATGAGGGTGGACAGGGATATTGTCGCCAGTGAACATAACCTACAAAGAACAAAACAAATATTACATGTATTAAAAGAATGCATATTGCAAAATGGAACTATAGCAAGGAATATGTCATGAATCAAAAATGTACGCTTACACTGTTATTAGCAGATCTCCGATGATAATTTTTTATGTTTTTCACAACTTATTTATGGTAAAAAGCACTAATAAAGTTTATACATGCAGGTGATCCAACTCAACTACAACAGATTTCCATTCATCTCAATATTTATGGGTCGCAGAAGACTTCGCATAAGATTTTGAAAATAACGAATTTTGCAGTGTCCTGAGAGATCTACAAAAACACCCTGAGGTTTATTTTTTCTTAGCTACAATTTCTACTTTAGCTTACACGATAATCTTGATTTTAAACACACACGGATGAATGGTTTTATTTATTTGTGGCTCTATACTGAGGGAAGATATAGGGATTTTGGATAAACTAAAATACTAAGCTAAGAAAAAAAAAAAAAAAACTTTCAGAGAGCTCTCTCTCTTGTTCTTTCAGTGGTTCTGTGCAATGCTATTTAGTCAGAGTGGAAAAAGAAAAGCATTGTCCCTATATTCCTCCCACTTAATACCGACACTGCCTACACGTCTAATGGTTAAACTACTATTATGGACAATTCCCATGCTGCTGAGCCAGCTATCCCCAACAGCTGTAGAGCCATGGGTTAACCATCACATATTATCCAAGGCAAGTAAAATCTCCAAGCATTATGCTTTGAATAGAAAGTAGTGGCAGATGTGTGTCTAGACTGTATTTCCTATGCATGACTTGAGTTTTTTTTTTTTTTTTAAACATGTATAACATTTGTCATGTGAGATGGATTTCCACTTTCAGTATTAAGGGATTGCATTGAGGTATTAGCTCAGCCCTAGGATTTATTGTGCTAGAGTGCTCTAAAAACATGTTTTTATCATCTTTGAAATTTGATTAGGAAAATGATTTTTATTTAAAATCCAACATATTGATTTGGAATTTTCCCCCAAGTTTTTAAACTTTGTTTGTAATTCACTACAATATGGTTGAATACACCCCTAAAGGGTAACAACAGTTTGAATATTTAAAGAAAAAAAATCTGTCTACTACATCTTTAAAGGGACACTATAGTCACCAGAACAACTACAACTTAATGAGTGAGTATATAATGGTTATAACTGGTGAGTATAACCATTGCCTTCAGGCATTCGCATGCAAACACTGCCTTTTCAGGGAAAAGGCAGCGTTTACATTTCCCCTAGGGACACCACAAGTGGCCACTCCTCTGATGGCCACTGGAGATGCTTCTTGGCTCAGTGCTGTATAGTAAGCAGCACTGCTATTCAGCGTCTCCACGCTCTGCATGGGGACGCTGAACTTTCCTCATAGAGATGCATTGATTCAAGTGCTAATTGGCCAAAACGGCATTTGGTCCGCCCCATGTCGATTTTAGCCAATTTAGTCATCAAGGAGGCGGATCAGGGGCGGGACCAGTGCAGCGATGGAAATAAGGTTACTTTTCACCTATTCTAAGGGGGCTGAGGTGGGGGAGGAAGGGGCAAGCCACCTTAATGGTGGGTTTAACATTATAAGTTCAGGAATACATGTTTGTGTTCCTGACTCTATAGCGTTCCTTTAAATATCTGATATAGTTTCAACTACTACAGTATTGGTTAACACATTTCTACTTAACACCACTTGCAGCTGCTTGATTTTACAAATAAATGATTGCTGGACCCTGAATGGAGAGAGGAGAAAGTCTTCTGCTGAGAGTGAACTAAAAAACATTTCCTACATTTAAACAATGGGGTACCAAAAAGTTCCACTTGAAATGAACCAATATTTTTAATAAAGCATCTTAAAATATATATCCATTAATATTATTTTAACAGATTAAAGATTAGTGGCCATTATTTGGAAGAAAAATCTGACATAGCTCTGAATGCAAAAACATTGCAGCAAAACATTAAAAAAACAAAACCACAAACGTTTAATTTTGCTAAGAGAAAATGACAGTGAACGAGACCTCCATTGTTTTTCCCAGAAATCCAATATCATGCCTCCCACACACCCCCAATTCAAGAAATGATTTTAAGGTGCTTCACATATTGGGCTACACAGTACCTGAGGAGAATCAAAAGGATATCGGCTGCTGAACTTAAATAGAAGCTGGAATTTTTCTCCTTCATATAATGTTCCCGGTGCACCTTCCATGTCTACAATCCACCTAAAACATACCAAAGACAGACATGTACAAACCCAGTTAGAAAATGTGCATATTTATTTTTTCTACAAGGGCATGACTGTCTTAATATGACCCACATCATCATTCTTGCGTGTAGCCCTAACCCTGCGTCACAAATATGTGTTTAGGTTTCAACAGTACAGTTCTCTGGACTATATTTGCAAGTTAAAACAAAAAAGTTTACAAAAACTCATACAGAGCATGTAAATTAGAGATACCAAAAACCACAAGGTCTGGACAGATAGCTACTAAAACCTGTGGTTCTTAAGCACTAGGCCGAGACCCAAAAACAGAGCTTCATGCTATTACAGTGGCTCAAGATTGGTGACTTTAAAGGATCACTATAGGGTCAGGAACACAAACATGTATTCCTGACCCTATAGTGTTAAAACCACCATCTAGCCCCCTTGGGTCCCTCATGCCTCTGTAAATATAGCAAAATCTTACTGTATTCAAGACAGAAGCTGTAGATCTGCATGCGGTTTGCTTAAAAAGAAAAAAAAAAACAAGCAGTCTGCTGACATCATCAGAAGTGGTAGCCAGATCCAATCACAGTGATCCCCATAGGATTGGCTGAGACTGACAAGGGGGCAGATCCAGCATGATTCAAACACAGCCCTGGCCAATCAGCATCTCCTCATAGAGATGAATTGAATCAATGAATCTCTATGAGGAAAGGTAAGTGTCTGCATGCAGAGGGAGGAGCCACTGAATGTTTGGATGCATTTTTAGCAGCCATGACCCAGGAAGGATCTCTAACAGCTATCTGAGGAGTGGCCAGTGAAGTTATCACTAGCTTGTAATGTAAACACCGCATTTTCTCTGAAGAGACAGTGTCTATAGCAAAAAGCATGAAGGTAATGATTCTACTCACCAGAACAAATTCAATAAGCTGTAGTTGTTCTGGTGACTATCGTGTCCCTTTAAAGTAAAATTACATGCTGTAGCAGCATTGTTTCCCTTGTGGCACTGGAGACCCACTGACACAGGGAAGAGTCTGATGAAGGAATGTTGCTTAATTTGCTAATGTCAGAAATATATAAGCCCCTATCAAAAAAGTTATGAACGCTTAGCCTATTCTCTGGAAAGCATATCAGATAGGAATTAAACATTTACTGTATGAAAAGATCAATATTTTAAATCCAAGCACACTTTCTGCACTAGCAGTGACGTGAATTCACCTGCAACACCCAGGTCAGTCAGTTGTGTGCTACATAACACGAATTATAAAAGTGTTAATTCAAGACAGCCTTCAAAACTGCTAAATAATCATTTTTGTTGGCTGCATGGATTTATCAATTATTTTGGAATCGATTATGTCAGTCATAAGTGAAACACGACATAACCGCATGTATCCACCTTTAACAAACATACTGACTGTTCTATAATCTGATTAGCCTTCCCACTGCAACTATACGTCACGTATTGTGAGACAAGCATCAAGGTAGAAAGGCAGTGCAAGTTTGGATTACGTCCATGACAACCTGTAATTAGAAGTTTTCCAAAGTTACAAGCCTTACTCACTACAGTAGGTTTTACAGCTTTAAACTGACAACTTAATTATTCTCTACAGCTATCTTGATATTTGCTTACACACCTAGTAGTTTAAAAAAAGTAGGTTAAGTAATGAAGTATGTCAGTAGAAAAAAAATAAAAATTATAAAATACAAGATTGGAGGTGAAGAGTGTCAAAGTTTTTAGAATATAATCCGAACAGATATTGTTTTTAAATGAAAGATAAAGCTTGCTAGTATCCTCTTGCAGACTCCAGTTTAACTTGGAACAACAAATAAACAACACAAATCTAAAAAAACAAAAACAAAAAAAACCTCAAAAATCGAAAACAACCAACAATTCCCAAAAATACTTTTTGGACCATAACTAGTGGACCAAAGTTCCACGGATTCTGTACTCTGTCCACCCTCTAAAGATAATCACATTTTTTATAGCCTTTTAGCCTCCCATAAACAATGTATGCACATGAGTCACTATATTTTAAAAATGATTGTCCAGACACCATGGTTAGTAAAAAATAAAAATAAATTTCAACCTATCGTTCCTGTATTTTTTTTTTTTATTCTTTATTTTTGCTGTGCACAAAATAACACGCTGCCTTGTAATGCCACAACAGCAATATCAAGTAATACAGACATACACAAATGTACAGGTTGTGACAATCAAAATTCTGGCACAATTTTCTAAAGTAATAAACAACAACATGCTACTGAAGGATATAGTGGGAGGACACGCTAATCCAGACAGGATGTAGATTAACAGGCTAGGTGTTAAACATGCTAATTACTACCTACTAGGTTTTATATAAACAGGAATGTAACAGGCTGACTGATATTACTAGTAGGAGAACGAACCACTGAATTTATGAATGATTTACCTCACTGCACTAGAAGTAATAAAAAAGAGGGGAAAAAAAGAGGAAAAAAGAAAAGAAAGAAAGTATTCAGATAAATCTCCTTGCAAAATAAATATAGCAGCTGCCTTTGTCTAGCTCGAACTCAGTTAGCAGGCCCAGTGCCCAGATCAGCTTATCACCACGAGTGGCAGAGTTGATGTGCCTTCGTGTAAGTCCAGGCGGACAGATATGGGACAATACCCGAGCAGGATTCTCGGCAAGCCCCAGGCATGTATGAAATCCGACAGCGTATTTCCACTGACCAGGTCAGTCGGGAGGGCTGGTGGCGAGCGATCCTCTGCATTCGTGCGTGATCCTGTGGGCAGTGCCTCGAGGGGCTCTCTGCCGGGGTAGGGATGCAAAAGGAGGAACAGATGCAGTTTGGGTAGGTGACCCCCCTGAGAGATATCTCAGAGAGCTTTGTTATTATGACCTTCTATGGATAAAATGAATACCTTGAACAGAATATCTTTCATTTCAGTTATTCTTCTCTAGAGAACCACGTGCAAATGGTTAATACCATTAAAAAATAAATAAAAACATTCAGTACAATGTGTTTATCCTTCTAATCACGGACAGACTTTAAAAATTATTGAAGAAAAAGCCAAAATGCAAAACAGTCACTCCTACTCAAGCATTTGATAGGACTGTTCTCACCCGCTCAGATAGCAAGCACACACTCTGAGCTGGGGAAGGAGTGGGGGTGTACAAGGCAGGGAAATCATTATTATTATTATTATTATTAACATTAACAGTGGAAATGTAAATGGAGGGAGGCGGGAAGGGAATGCACCAAGGGAGGGGACATTGACGTTTCCCTTTTCACGCACGATCCCTGCAAGAGTAGAAGCGAATAACGTCTGGCACCAGCAGACAAAATGCACATGCAGATTCCTACCACCAAGACTTCTTTTAAAAAAAGAAGTGGTCATAGTGGTTGGAGTAACCAATTTTAAGCAGTAGTGGTCATGGTGGATTAAGGAATTACTGTTTGCAGGAGTTTAATACACAAACAATATATAAAAATAAACAAGGATACTCACATTTGATTAGAATATTTAAAAGAGAAATGTCATATCCTTGCCTTTAGTGCAACAAATAATTATTGTTTGTTTTAAACATTTTTAAAAATTCTTCATATTCAATGGCCAATGTCAGGCAAAGTATGTAAAATGAGTTAAAAGGTGCACATGCAGCCTAAGTCAGTGAAATGTTCCAAGCAAATGGACCACGGATGATACAACCCAACGACAAACAGGGCATGGAAGTAGCGAGAAGGATCTCGCTGACAAGATTCATGGAAAGTTTTTAACGCATTCTGTTGATGCAGAAATTGGTGATTACTAAGGTAGAGTGTTGGACTATTTTTTTGTTGAGCAGGAATATCTGAGGTGCCATGGTTAATTACTAATTTTCCCAAACTAGCATTCATATGAACAGTTTCAGCAACTACACTGAGCATAGCAATAAAATGCCTATTACAGTGAAAAGTGTACGATCTATCTGGGGGCACATGTGTACATTGTGTAACACCAACCCATTCAGGAAAATCCTTTAAAGGAACACTCCAGGCACCCAGACCACTTCTGCCCATTGGAGTGGTCTGGGTGCCAACTCCCATTACCCTTAACCCTGCAAGTGTAATTATTGCAGTTTTTACAAACTGCAATAATTACCTTGCAGGGTTAACATCTCCTCTAGACAGCCACTAGAGGGCACTTCTTGATTCATAGCACAGGTCTGTGCTATAGCATCGCTGGACGTCCTCATGCTGTGTGAGGACCTCCAGCGTCGCTAAAATCCCCATAGGAAAGCACTGAAAGCATTTTCAATTCCTATCAGGAGGGCTAATGTGTATGCACGGTATTGCCGCGCATGCGCATTAGGTCTCCTCCACCGGCGGGCGTGATCTGTCTCCCACGCCGGATGACGTGGGACGGGGAGGAGCGTGGGCAGACCAAGAAGCAGAGGCGAGGGACATCGTCGCTGCCTCTGGTAAGTCACTGAAGGGGTTTTCACCCCTTCTGCAACCGGGGATGGGAGGTGGGAGGGAGAGGGGACCCGCATTGCCAGGAAAAATCTCTGTGTGTTACTGTTTCTGAAGAAGCCAATTTTATATAATGGAAGTGAATGGGCATTATCGCTCTGCATATTTTAGAAATTCAGAAAAAGTACATTGTATCCATGTAGGAAGGTCATTGTCAAAAGCAATATATACATGATGTTGCCAGTCAGACGTATTCTTTGAAGCTGTGCAATGCCTGGAATGGGTACTAGACTGCTGAAGGGATTACATACTTTATTAGGTCAAGAGAAAAAAGTGAGCACAAAATAAGAATGGTCATGAATAGAAGGGCTAAAACCACAGAGCATAAGATGAAAAGATTGTTACCATAAAAGTAGATCTTCATTTTTGCTCGCAAAAGCCATTATTAGAGAGAATCGTAGCCTGTCACATAGACTAATCCCATGAGGGATACAGAAACCCCCAAAACATCATTTTTTTAGATTACCCTCTATTATTTACGGTTTCTCACCCCCTGTCAGCCAATTGCTGATATAAAGCTCAGTGATGATAACGAGTGACATTTAATAGACAGAGAACTCGCTTTCAAGTGGTTCTCCAGTTTTCACCATAGAATATATTGGGAGAGACTTGTCCCTCTGTACTAACACAGATGCACTGGCAATCAAAGCATTTTGTTGGCACCATGACATTGGATTGATGCACAAATGCAGTAGGTCCTCAATGTCTCTCTGTAAAAAGTATCTGAATAAGTCATGATGAGGAAAGTATGACAGCAGTGAAATTTAGGAGTTTTATGTTTTTTAAAATCTTTTATTTTAAGTAGGTCCCTGAATCTTAACCTACTAAGGAACGGTCTACCATTCCAAATAAATAGATTTTTTATTTTAATTATATTAAGGGTCAAACATAATTGTGTTTCCCATTATAACGTGTACATACAGAAAAAGTAAAATGAACAAAACACGCACATTGTGATCCCAGCAAGACCACAGGGCTGAATTATAATATAGGATAGGATAAATACTACCTTTTTTCTTTGAATCAAGGGGCTCTGGATAAGGGCTGTATTAGAAACATCTAGTCACATTTAGTTAATGAAATTAGTGCCCGTATCTCTATACCATTGCAAGGAAGAAAATAATTACTCAAATTAACAGTAAACAAAGGGCATTTTCTACCAAACTCCAAACGACTGGATAGTTTTGGCTTGGGTACAAAACAAATATAAACAAACATTATTTCTCATTGTTACCCTTCCTCGACCAAGGACAGTTACTCCATTACATCAGTTACATGTTTGGCTAGTGAAAGGTCTGTACACTGTCTATCTTCTACATAATACAAGGATCCCATACTAACAGTTTCACTAGCACTCTGCAACGGTGGGGACCCGAACAAATGTCCACATTACATAACAGCTAAATGAACACTATAGTATCACTGTCCCTATTTCCATACTACCTACCCATGAGCACAACAAAATAAGAAAGAATGTACTAACCTTTTCTCCAGCTCCTAGTTGTGTGATGTCATAGAGGAGGACTCGCCACAATCCACCAATGATTCTGTCATAGAGAATCATTGCATGCAGATCATGACTACACTGCACATGCTCACGAGATATCACAGTATGCATGGTTAGAGAGTTTAGAGGTCTCTCCTGTAAAGAGGGTTTGGAGGCATGCTTCCAAACTTTTCAACTTTTAAAATAAAGTAATCTGGGTCAGTTAAGAAGTTAACAACTGTAGGCACTATAACAATTACTTCAATGAGGTGACATTGTTATAGTGAGTACAGTCTTCATAAATTGAGCTGGACAAGAGAGAAAGATTTAACCTATTAATGCCATGTGTCTTTCAGAGACTTTATATAGTTTTGGTTAAATTCTGGGACTTCTTAAAATGTCTTGTGTATATATATATATATATATATATATATATATATTCAAAAAACAGGGAGAAAAAAAAATAAAAAATACAAAAACAAACAAGGACAGTATATTTGAATTCTCTTCACATTTCAGCCTGAAAAGCATAAGTGTAAATGGAATCTAGATATAGAAATGGAGAGCCTTTGGTAATACATGTTTGAAGGTCAGTGAAAGATCATGCTTTGGTAATCGTTAAATTGTCAGCTACACATTCAAGCTGAAAATCCTCCTTTCCATCATATTTCATCAAGATCTACAGACAGATGAAGTTACAAGAGTACACTGAAGTCATTATCATGTTCATGGAATAAGCCTGTGATGACATATTGTGACATGGGGAGTTATCCTTTTGGAAGTTACCACTGGAAGAATGGATAGGCTGTGGCCATAAAGGGATGCAAATGGTCGGTTGAATTGAAACAATGCTCAGTTTTTATTAAAGGGCTTAATGTGTACCATGAAAATATTCACACAAAAATATGTCACCACCACCAGACTGAGCTGTTGATAAAAGGTAAAACTGATCCATGGATTCAATCTGTTAAATCTAAATATGGACCCTGGCATCTGCATGTCACGCCAGAAATTGAGATCTTTCCATCAATTGTCAATTCCATTAAATTTTCCAGTTTTTGTATGCCTGTGCCAAGGAAGCATTAACGCCCTGCTTTTAGCAAGCAGGGGTGAAGGCTAATGTTTCTTATACTGCTGCAGCCCACCCTCCTGTTGTCCAACTAACAAGACTTCTCCACACTGACTAACCCACAAGCCGGATCTGAGGCCTCTAACTCCTCCTGTCCAAAAGCCTTGCAAGGCATTGTGAAAACTATAATACTACAATGGCTTACAGTACCTGACAACCACACCTGCTCCTGGTGCTTTGTCTTTTGTATCATACTCTCTTTTTGAGCAAAATTTTCCAGTTTCATAAAACTGGAATCTGACAGAGGAATATTTTGTTCATTAAACGTATTATTCATTTAGAGTTATGACATACTATGTGCCATTTTGCCAGGGATGTGAAGGTTCATTCAGAGGTTAAGAAAAAAAAAAAAAAAGCATACATATGCACACATATGTCGATACAAACAGCCAGTTTAATAGAATATATTGTTATAATAGAATAATATTTAGTATAATATGGTTTCAAGGAGTGCACCCCTAAAGGGATCCTAGAGTGCCAGGAAAACAAGGTTGTTTTTCTGGTACTACAGGGTTAATAGGCAGGGCTTATTAACCCCTTCAGCCACTTACCTAAATCCAGCGCCGATGACCCCCGGCACTGGGTCAGGCTCTGCCCACGCTCTTCCCCCGCCGTCAGCCGGCGGGGGAGATCTAATGCACGGCAATGGCCGCACACACTAGACTTCCCCATAGGAAAGCATTATTTAATGCTTTCCTATGGGGAAAATCTGACGCTGGAGGTCCACAAGCCCTCTAGTGGCAGTCTGTTAGACAGTCACAGAGGGCAGACTTAGAGCTGCAAAAAGGTCACAGCACCCAGACAACTTAAAATTAGTTCAAGTGCCTACAGAGTCCATTTAAGTGTATACATACAGCTGTCTTACTGTTATAAATTAACAAAAATAGTTTGAAATGCATTGTTAAACCATTTTGTTTTACTTACTGTGTAATAGAATTCTGAACACTCTTTTCATTTAAAGTCATCCCAGGCGGTGGCTCATTCTGCAAAGCCATCAGTTCCTTCTGGAGCCGCTTCTGTAAGAGAACCGGCAAATCATTAGTGATAAGCATATTTAATAAACAAAACACATGAGAAAACAGCACTCTTTATCCATATATTAGTATGACGATGTGTTAATTAGCATAAGTCTGTTAATCCAGAGACCAGGTAGGTGCAATGTGAAGGTTAGGTTACAGCCAGTTCTGCTGAGCGTATTATTAATTTTTAAGTTAAAAGTAAAAAAATAAAAGTGTTTTGCTCAATGTGTTATTTGTATGTGATATTTAAACTGCTTCACATGCTCTCGTCATATCTGATCCCACTAATAAAAAGGTGTTTGGATGTGGGGGAGGGAGGGGCGGGGGGGTTGCTCCTTACACCTACCCTCATTTCCTCTTTGTACCAAGCATATTGTTCATGATGCTATTACTTTCTACCAGTAGAATGTTGACAACTAATATTTATTAGAAATCCTGTTTAGCTACAGGCTTCATAAATGATGAGCTCTCGTCCCCTTGAATATGTTCTTATACACTTCCTCCTAAAATGCAAGATTGTTTGAGCAGTGTTCTCTGAACCTCTTCTTTGTGTTTGCATTATTTTGTCACTTATTTGCCACTTTATAAGCCAACCATGAAGTGCTGCAGAATATGTTGGTGTTCCATAAATAATAACTGCACTCTGGAGTATCCCTTTAACGGATTTCAAGATAAACTGTGCGACGATTCCCAGAAGTGAACAAATTTAAAGGAACTCTACTGTCTAAATGTCAGCTCTCTCCTTCCTTTCCCAATATGCATTTAGCCTAGTTGAGACAGTACTTTTAGAACTGTCATTGTTTTCCGGGTTACAAATTTGTTTCAGTTTCTTGTGACTAGCAGCTCTTCGGCTGCTATTCTTTGCATTCCCATTTCACATCTTAACCGACTTGCATTTTGAAATTAAAGGGACACTATAGTCACCAGAACAACTACAGCTTATTGCATTTGTTCTGGTGAGTAGAATCATTCCCTTCAGGCCTTTTGCTGTACACACTGTCTTTTCAGAGAAAATGCAGGGTTTACATTACAGCCTAATGATAACTTCACTGGACACTCCTTAGATGGATGTTAGAGATCCTTCCTGGGTCATAGCTGCCTAAAATGCATCCAAACATTCAGTATCTTAACCTTCTGCATGCAGACACTGAACTTTCATCATAGAGATTCATTGATTCAATTCATCTCTATGAGGAGATGCTGATTGGCCAGGGCTGTGTTTGAATTGTACTGGCTCTGCCCCTGATCTGCCGCTTTGTCAGTCTCAGCCAATCCTATGGGGAAGCATTGTGATTGGATCAGGCATCCACTTCTGATGATGTCAGCAGACAGCTTGTTTTTATGAGGCAAACAGCATACAGAGTTACAGCTTCAGGCTTGAATACAGTAAGATTTTGCTATATTTATGGAGGCATGAGGGGCCCAAGGGGCTAGATGGTGGTTTTAACACTATAGTGTCAGGAATACATGTTTGTGTTCCTGACCCTATAGTGATCCTTTAATCTCCACCCAACTATTACCACCTTGTGGGGACATCAATTTGAGAGTCTGGGCAAGTTGAGCCCTATAGAAAATAAGAGATTAAGGCTTCTCCAGCCTCACACATTCCTAGGCCTCAGATGACAATAGTGCTTTTTTTGTTATCAGTCCAATGCCCGTGTCACATTTTATATGAATTTCCTTGTCTAATGTTGGTATGACAACACTTAAAAAAATCAAGATAGGACTAATAGTGTTAACAAAATCCTTTATAATGTCACATTAACATACAGTAGGTACAGACAACAAACGTTTTGAGCCAGGCAATACAAAATGCAAATATATTTTACAGAAGTTTTAGAAATTAAAAGAGAAAAATAAAGTAATTAAAATACAATTTCCTTATCAAATTGTGGCACAGTAACACATTTAAGGAATATTGCAATCTGTCTTTAAGGCAATATGTACTTGTTTGTTAACAAGAAGACTATACTTCAACACATGATCCCATGCTTTTGCAAATGCAGAGTTGTAATACAATGCGATTAACAATGGTTTCTACGACAGCTAAATATATACATAGGCTCCCTACTGTGTGCAGACTTCTACTGAGGATAGTTTGCCTTAACAATATCCTGTAACGTAAAGAGGAATACTAGATGCAAATAGTATTTAAAAAAAAATTAAATCAATGACAAAGGCTGAGAAATAAGAATGCAATAAGGAGAGGAAGAGTGGTGCTGGAAGTGATAAATACTTATTTCCTTCAAATATTCCTGCAAAATTTAGTTTTTTTAATTTTAAAAAAATGCACTCTCTGCTTTTTTATTTACTCAATCGTTTTTTTCTATTTACTAGTATATTTTCTATTTACCCTTTTGTAATGAGTACTTTGAAAAATCCTAGTATATCAAAACATACAGAGTTTTGTGAATGTATATTTTTTAAATGGTAACTTCTTTCCTTTTTTTAAATGTTTTCTTCCTGTGAGCGCCATATTTTGTTATTATAACAAGATCTGCCTTCATTCAATAAAACGCTTCTCCTGTTCGAATAAAATATTTTAATGCTCTGTTTATGCAATATTTTGCAATCATTCACATGCTTGTCTCATGAATTTGTACATGCAATCCACTAAGGACACAAGAAGCAAAGGTTTCATCAGGCCCTGTGAAATTTTGTTCATATGTAAGACAAAAAGAAATTGTCCTGGGATTTCTTCAGATTGGTTAACCCAGTTTACATTTACCATCAGCAGCACACAGCCCTACTATCTCCAATAGTTAATACATTGAGGGTTGCAAAGCAGACTCAAAAGTCATGTGTGATAGCATTAAATATAAAGCAGAGAATACAGTTTAGAAGAAATACAAACCTACAGCACCATAAAAAACAAACAAACAAACAAAACAGGAGGGGCAAATCTCAAAAAGCATAGTTACTTTTTTCCCCAAAAGATGGCATGCAGAGATCTCTCCAGCCAGTCAGCTGTAGTTACATATGAATGATACAATACCACAAATGGTAAAGTCATCTGCTAGTTGTAAGTCACATAATATCAGGGGAAAAAAAGGACAAACATACAATTGTTCAACATTTCCAAAAATATATATTACATCCATAGATCCTTGAGCTCCAAAATACCAAAGACAAGGAGGGGCTAACTCTCCTAAAATATTATTGTTGCTTAGATATAGTCTATATTGATTCATACATTTTATTTTAATGAACTGTTTCACACATCACTAAAATTGTCAATCTTTACGCAGAACTATAGTTTCCGAGGTTTTTTTTAATGTTATGTTTACTTATAAATACATTTTAAGAAACATGTATTTACAAGGTGTGAAAACAAAAGGTCGAATGTAGAAATTCACGTCTTTATCCTGAAACTACACCTCCATTTTAGATCACTGTCAACCATTGTTATAAACTGTTCTTGCACTGGTCAGTCAGCATACAAAAAACAGAGTAGAGGACCAATAAAACAATGTTTTTATTTCTCTTCAGCATTTGAATTCTCTAAACTAATTTATGATGTCATTTGCTTTTGTTTTTACATATATACATTCAAAAGAAAATAGTGTATCTCATTTTAAAAAAGGTTAACATTGGAGATTTGCAATATTTAATTCAATGGTGTAAATCTCAGACAGATCACAGATTGTCTTTAAAGCTATTTTTTGGTCTCTATTATTACATGAAAAATCAATATAAGATCTCTGCCCTTACCGTTGAAGCATCCATATTTGTAGTGGCTCAAGCAAACTTCACGTAAGTATCTCTATCTATGGAATTTCTGTTAAGATGAAAATGTATTAGTTACCTTAAGTGGACATGGTCCACCCTCACATTAGTGGTAAACAGGGCTGTTTTACTTCTGAATGCCAGAGTATACTTAACACTACATGGCAATTATAATTATACTCAAATGTCAGCTATTTCAAAGAGAAACATTATACACACACACACACACACACACACACACACACACACACACAAACACACCTTTTTAATACTGGAGCAGACACCATGCAGTGCTATCAAAGGATTTCATGACTATGCTACAGCAGTCATAGAAATGGTTCTGGTTACTTTGTTGCAAATTGCTGCCCCCAAACAATATTTCCTTATGTATACTCTTGTCTTTTTTGTATATAACATTTAAAAATATATATTTTAAAAGAATAAACCACAAACCAACTGAAAAACTAATTACACAAGATTATATCACTTGCTTCTCCCAAACACCTGAATTAAAAGTAAATGTTATAGTTATCTAGTCAATGCATTTAGTATAGATAACTTTTAACATTGTTTTTATTTCTTTTAACTGCCTTTATTGAGTATATTTCTCTTTATTGGTTTTATCACTTGACCACCTGTAAGTGATTTGCTATTGTGAAACATTACTTATCAAACAATTTATTAAAAACTAAAAGTACAATATTAGCTGTATAAAGAGGGACGGGGGATGAATCGGATATTTTGGACTATTTTCTATAGTTTGTAGTGTTGTCTGCAGTTTTCCTTAGGGTAGGCACCCAATCCTGTTTTACAAGATTTGCAAGCCATTGGAAAACTAAATATGCAGAGAGGCCTCAGACTCCACCCACAACAAACTTCACCAATACTAAACACTGTTTAATGGTCCGAAATTCACATAAAATACCCGTGAGCCTTGATTCCTAGATCGGAAAATGACCTATATAAACTAATATCTCCACAGTTCTGCAACAATTTGGAGCTCAGCTCCAGGGATAAAAGCATTTTCCCCTCACTATCTTGGGTAGGGCATGCCACTTAAAATACATACTCTTCCTTAAAATCAAACAAACAATTAACCAGCTACAAATTTTACCACTGATCCACTTGAAGCATGATGTAAATAGGTTACACCCCCTATTTATCACTTTCCTAGATCAAAACTTCCCAACATAAGGTTTAAAATTTTTGCCAGAACTGGGAACCCTACATACAAAATTTAGACATTGACAACAGAGCAGTTATTCAAAACATTTCAATGCACCAGCTGGTATTCTTGAAAACACTTTGTGGACAATTTCAAACAGATTCGAATAGAAGGGAGGGATGGAGAAATTTAAAGTGTGTCTGGATGAAATACTGCCTCATCCATTTATTCCTTATTAGGGACTTTATTAGCAAATTTTCATTAAGGGACAGATTTGGCTTAAAAGACCACTATAGGCACCAAGACCACTTCAGCTCAATGAAGTGGTCTGGGTAACAGGTCCCTCTAGTTTTAAAGGGACACTCCAGGCACCCAGACCACTTCTGCCCATTGGAGTGGTCTGGGTGCCAACTCCCACTACTCTTAACCCTGCAAGTGTAATTATTGCAGTTTTTTATAAACTGCAATAATTACATTGCAGGGTTAACTCCACCTCTAGTGGCTGTCTACTAGACAGCCACTAGAGGGCACTTCCTGGTTTCTAGCACAGGAAACCTGTGCTAGAGCGTCGCTGGACGTCCTCGCGCTGTGTGAGGACCTCTAGGGTCGCTCATTTCCCCATAGGAAAGCATTGAAATGCATTTTTAATGATTTCCTATGGGGAGCGCTAATGCACATGTGTGGCATTGCCGCGCATGCGCATTAGGTCTCCCCGGCCGGTGGGCGGGATCAGTCTCGCCCACCGGCCGACGCAATCAGAGGGAGGAGCGACGCAGAAGATGAAGCAGCGACGTGGGACATGTCGCTGCCTCTGGTAAGTGACTGAAGAGGTTTTCACCCCTTCAGCAACCGGGGAGTGTGAGGGAGAGGGGACCTGCAGTGCCAGGAAAACGGATTGATTTCCTGGCACTGGAGTTTCCCTTTAACTCTACAGCTAAAAACATAGTTTCAGAAAAACTGCTATGTTTACACTGAGGGTTAATCCAGCCTCTAGTGGCTGTCTCACTGACAAACACCAGAGGCCGCTTCCACGATTCTCATTGGTGGTTTGAGCCCAACGGGAGGGGGGCCACGAGGGTGGGAGGGAAACGAGTCTTATCTACATAAGTCAAAAGCATGTTTACCTGACATGCCTTGTTCATACACTGAGTTATCAATCTTCTCACTGGACAGACTGCACTTTCAAATTTTGTGTAATTCTACACATTTAGCCTGTAAGCTCATTTGACCAGGAGCCTCATCACCTGCATGTCAACCTTGTTTTGTAACAATCCCAACTTTTTACTTGGTGAATTAGATAAGCAAGAAAGAACTCTTGAAATCCATGCCATTTTGCAAGCAAAGCGACTTGTATAACAGAAATTCAGGTTTGACAACAGTGCAGGTTTATTAACTGAACTGTGTCAAATTAGTTTTTTTTTCCATGGAAAATTTAAAGGTGCACTGAAAAAAAAATGTCCAAATTAGCTGTAGCCGAATTTTGCAATTCGGCTTTCAATTCACACTCAGTTCACTGTTCAGTTAATAAGTCCCAGCATGTCTAAACAGACTCTAGCACAGAAAGTTTCTATGGAAATGTCACTGAAAACAATAGTTCATAGAATGTTGCTTTAGGCACTGGTTGACATATTTATAGCACCTGAGGATAAGGTACATATTAATGAACCAAATTCATGTTCCTTTGCAGGAAAAAGGGTGGTGAAAAATGCCTAAAATTTACTTTAAAGTACATAAAGTTAGGTACTCATGAAAAAAACAGGGTTATTTACTAGCATAGTATTCTGGCATTAATTTGAAACTATAGTTACTCTCAACTTGCCCTTAAAGGGACACTGTAGGCAGTGTAACAGCTTCATCTCATTGCACCGATTATAGTGCCTATTCAGTATTTAACCATTTTTAGTGTTAATGCAAAATGAGAGTCCCAAGCAGCCTATCCCCTCTGTGCTGCTGGGACTCAGCAATAGCCTAAGCAGCAAATGATGGCTGGGATTGACTGGGAATGTAAACTTAGTGCCTTCAGCCTATCACAGCAACCATTTCTGGTATAAATTGATATGGATAGAAGGAAGTGTTTTAGCCATACCTCCAGCAGGGGCTGGGGTGGACAGTGACACATATTTAGGGGTAAACTGCTTAAAAAAAAACACTTAACACTGAGCAGTGTCCATTTAACTATTACATTTATGGGGAAATGTTTTAATTGAGCAAAAAAAATCAATCAAGAATGATTTCCACATTTTTTAATTGGCACAATGGTAAATGCAGGTAAGTGCCTAAAATATGAAAGCAGAAAGTTGGTTTCAACTGATAATAAATTAGTATGTGCAAATATCTGAAGGGATATGGCAGGTGTTTATGGGATTGTACATTTAGTCTCCAGCCACAATTCCACTCATTACATAGGATTACAGGAAGGGTTGAATAAGCCATTTCCTTTGATATCAAAGGTACATGGAGCACTATTAAAACTACAGCGATTTTTTTTTTTTTAGCAAATTGCTGCAGTTGTGCATCATGTTTAGTGACAAAGGGACTCTAGACTTTTTTACTCATTAATCTGCATTGCCAAACTGAAAATGTAACATTCCAAAGCAAATGCCAAATAAAAGTGGTTGATGATTGGAGAGAAAGCAATCTGCATGTATTTTTTTTTTTTTTTAATATAACAAAAAAATATCGTACAGAAAAATGCAAGAAACACATTTCAGAAAAATCTGTTACACCATCCAATCACTGACAAATGCAAAACAAACCATATTGTGTGTTAGAAACAAACAAACAAAAAAATATATACACACACACATACACACTTTTTTCATATCTAGCTACATATTGTAGACGGGTTAACAGAAGTAAATAATTCTACCAAAGGAAATGAAATTTTTTAAGGCAGGTTATGTGTAAAGATCAGAAACCATTTCAGATGGCATGGGATATAAGAATGCGTTATAGAACTAAATTAATATTTTTGTTTTCCATCCTCCTCCCCTACCACTTCTAAAATGAAAAAACAATCAGAATCAACAATGGATGCTTGGATAGCAGGCAATATCAGCAGATGTTCAGCAATCTCAACATTTGCAACCATAAAGAATACGAATATGAAATCGCAAATAATAGGGTCATGACTTGATTTAACTTCTCAGCTAATGGCATGCATTAATTTAAAAACAAATTATTTAAACTCGATTACTTAACTAACCTTGCTTCTAAAACACTATTTTACATAGACCATTAAGTGCCAGACAATGACTGGCATTAATGATGCTCATGGCATTCAAAATGATTAGTATTGTAAACATATCATGTTGGTGGTAGCTCTCTTATACGCATGTCCATGTACTCATCAGTCTATGCTTGAAACACGAACACTGCAGCATTATTAAATGTAACTTCCTCATTGCTGTCTTCAAAGGTAAATAGAGAAACTGTGACAACTGTGCTATAACATATACTCAACAACTTGTAGGGCAGGCAGAGCCTAGCCCTATATGCAGGATGGAGGAAGGGGACACCATAAAAGTTAGCGAAATATATTAAGTAAATGCTGCCAAAATGTAGAACTCCAGCTATTACAGAACCACAGCTTCCAGAATGCTTTGCTAGCCTTAGACTGACAAAGCATTGTGGAAGTTGTATTCTACAATGGGGGTATTATCTTTTGTGTCCACCCTTACCCTAGCAAAGCATCATGGGAGTTGTATTCTACAGTGGGGGTATTATCTTTTGTGTCCACCCCTACCCTAGCAAAGCACCATGGGAGTTGTATTCTACAATGGGGGTATTATCTTTTGTGTCCACCCTTACCCTAGCAAAGCATCATGGGAGTTGTAGTCTACAATGGGTGTATTATCTTTTGTCCACCCTTGCCCTAGCAAAGCACCATGGGAGTTGTATTGGGGGTATTATCTTTTGTGTCCACCCTTACCCTAGCAAAGCATCATGGGAGTTGTATTCTACAATGGGTGTATTATCTTTTGTCCACCCTTGCCCTAGCAAAGCACCATGGGAGTTGTATTGGGGGTATTATCTTTTGTGTCCACCCTTACCCTAGCAAAGCATCATGGGAGTTGTATTCTACAATGGGTGTATTATCTTTTGTCCACCCTTGCCCTAGCAAAGCACCATGGGAGTTGTATTGGGGGTATTATCTTTTGTGTCCACCCTTACCCTAGCAAAGCATCATGGGAGTTGTATTCTACAATGGGTGTATTATCTTTTGTCCACCCTTGCCCTAGCAGAGCACCATGGGAGTTATATTCTACAATGGGGGTATTATCTTTTGTGGGGTATTATCTTTTGTGTCCACCCTTACCCTAGCAAAGCACCATGGGAGTTGTATTATCTTTTGTCCACCCTTACACTAACAGATTAAGTGACAGAAGGACAAAGGAAAGGACAGTGGAGGCTCACAATGATAACATGGCTAATGGTTGATAGATTGCCTCCTGTTGTAGAACTACAACTCCCATGATGCTTTGTGAGTTGGGTAATTTATCTGATGTCCTGTCCTGGGGTGACAGAATGAGGACAATGGAGATCCCCACAGGCAGGCAGGCAGTCAGGCTGCATGGTGACAGGGCAGACTCGGTACCATTATAGGAAGCTGGCTGACTGGTAATGGCTGCTAAAGGTCAGCAGGAGGGCCTGAGGTCATGGTTTATGGCCACGAAGCTCTCCTCTGTGAGCATTATCCCAGGGCAGGGGCTGGCGGGCTCACACCGTGTGGGCTGACGGTTGGAGAGGACCCCTATAAGGGTACAGTGACGGAGAACTACAACTCCCATCATGCCCTGCCCAGGTTTAGAATGGCAGAGCATCACGGGAGTTGTAGTCCGGCGGTGGCAGTGCGTTACATGGAGGTGAAGGGCACCCGGGCAGAGCGAGGGCAGGCAGTGCCAGCCAGGGCTGGGAGCAGGAGCCTCACCCAGGGACACAAACCGGCGGCCGACATTAACCTGATTGACCGGGAGGGGGGACAGAGGGTGAGGGGGCAGCCGGGTAAGATGAATTCGCGCAGCACTCACCTGCATTGACGCCATGATGGGATCCCTCCCCCTCCCTCCTCATGTGACGTCATGTTGCACGTGACCCCCCCCACGCGTCACAACAAGTAGGCGGCGCGCACGCGCGGTTAGGAAAAGGGTTTCTACTCGTGCGCTGCAAGGCTTGGTGACCTCTAGTGTCCGGGCATGCGCACTGCAGGCGGAGGGGCTGGAGCTGTCATTGTTCAATGCAGCACAATCCCCAGCAGCCTCTCTATTGACCCAAATTCAACCTGTATGACAAGCTTCATCTAACCTCCTCCACAACAGTCCATTCTGGGTTAAAGCCCAGTCCATTCTGGGTTACATAGCTGAAAAGAGACTTGCGTCCATCAAGTTCAGCCTTCCTCGCATTGTTTTTTGCCGTTGATCCAAAAGAAGGCAAAAAAACCAAAACCCCAGTCTGAAGCGTTTCCATATTTGCAACAAGCTAGGAAAAAAATTCCTTCTTGACCCCAGAATGGCAGTCAGATTTATCCTTTGATCAAGCAGTTATTACCCTACATTGAAAGATTATATCCTTGAATATTCTGTTCTTGCAAGTATGCATCTAGTAGCCGTTTGAACATCTGTGTGGACTCTGATAAAACCACTTCTTCAGGCAGAGAATTCCACATCCTGATTGTTCTTACAGTAAAAAAACCTTTCCTTTGCCTTAGACGAAATCTTCTTTCTTCCAGTCTAAACGCATGACCTCGTGTCCTATGTAAAGTTCGGTTTGTGAATAGATTTCCACACAATGGTTTGTATTGGCCCGGAATATTTTTGTATAATGTTATCATATCCCCTCTCAGGCGACTTTTTTTCTAAACTAAATAGGTTTAAATTTGTTAACCTTTCTTCATAGCTGCTATGTTCCATTCCTTTTATTAATTTTGTAGCCCGCCTCTAAACTTTTTCTAGTGCCATAATATCCTTCTTTAGAACAGGTGCCCAAAATTGCACAGCATATTTAATATGTGGTCTTATCAGTGATTTATAAAGATGCAAAATGATATTCTCGTCCTGAGAATGAATGCCCTTTTTCATGCATGACAATACCTTACTGGCCTTGGCCACTGCTGATTGACATTGCACATTGTTGCATAGTTTGTTGTCTATAACAATTCCCAAGTCCTTTTCATGTGTCGTTATCCCTAATTCGCTTCCCTTAAGGGTATACATTGCTTGTGTATTCTTTACGCCGAAGTGCATAACTTTGCATTTTTCAACATTAAATTTCATCTGCCATTTGAGTGCCCAGTCCCGCAGTCTAAATCCCTCTGCAGCAAAGTAATATCTTGCTCACATTGTATTATTTTACAAAGTTTTGTGTAATCTGCAAACAGTGAAACATGACTTTCAATGCTGTCTTCAAGATCATTTATAAATATGTTAAACAGAAGGGGTCCCAGAACAAACCCCTGAGGGTCACCACTTGCCACCTCTGTCCAGCTTGAAAATTTACCATTAATGACAACTCTTTGTACTCTGTTTTTTAGCCAATGTTCTACCCAAGAACAAGCATTTTCATCTAGATGTTTTCCTTGAGTTTGAACACTAATCTTTTGTGTGGAACTGTATCAAATGCCTTGGCAAAATCCAAATAGATCACATCCACTGCAACACCCTGATCTATACGTCTACTTACTTCTTCATAGAACGCAATAAAGTTAGTTTGACATGACCTGTGCTTCATAAAACCATAACCATGTTCTTCTCAAGGAATTCTTGAATATTATCCCTTAATAACCTTTCAAATATTTTACCAGCCACAGAAGTTAAGCTCACAGGTCTATAATTTCCAGGCAAGGATTTTGAACTCTTTTTGAATATAGGGGAAAAAAAGCCCAGTCCATTCTGGTTTAATGCCCAGTCCATTCTGGTTTAATCCCCTGTCCATTCTAGGTTAAAGCCCAGTCCATTCTGGTTTAATGTCCTGTCCATTCTGGTTTAATGCCCAGTCCATTCTGGTTTAATGCCCTGTCCATTCTGGGTTAAAGCCCAGTCCATTCTGGTTTAATGCCCTGTCCATTCTGCTTTAATGCCCAGTCCATTCTGGTTTAATCCCCTGTCCACTCTGGGTTAAAGCCCAGTCCATTCTGGTTTAATCCCCTGTCCATTCTGGGTTAAAGCCCAGTCCATTCTGGTTTAATGCCCAGTCCATTCTGGTTTAATGCCCAGTCCATTCTGGGTTAAAGCCCTGTCCATTCTGGGTTAAAGCCCAGTCCATTCTGGGTTAAAGCCCAGTCCACTCTGGGTTAAAGCCCAGTCCATTCTGGTTTAATCCCCTGTCCACTCTGGGTTAAAGCCCAGTCCATTCTGGTTTAATGCCCTGTCCACTCTGTTATAATGCCCAGTCCACTCTGGTTTAATGCCCTGTCCACTCTGGTTTAATGCCCAGTCTATTTTGGTTTAATCCCCAGTCCACTCTGGGTTAAAGCCCAGTCCATTCTGGTTTAATGCCCTGTCCACTCTGGTTTAATGCCCAGTCCATTCTGGTTTAATGCCCTGTCCACTCTGTTTTAATGCCCAGTCCACTCTGGTTTAATGCCCTGTCCACTCTGGTTTAATGCCCAGTCCATTCTGGTTTAATGCCCTGTCCACTCTGTTTTAATGCCCAGTCCACTCTGGTTTAATGCCCTGTCCACTCTGGTTTAATGCCCAGTCCATTCTGGTTTAATCCCCAGTCCACTCTGGGTTAAAGCTCAGTCCAATCTGGTTTAATGCCCTGTCCATTCTGGGTTAAAGCCAAGTCCATTCTAGTTTAATGCCCAGTCCATTCTGGTTTAAAGCCCGGTCCACTCTGAGTTAAAGCCCAGTCCATTCTGGTTTAATGCCCTGTCCATTCTGGGTTAAAGCCCAGTCCACTCTGGGTTAAAGCCCAGTCCATTCTGGGTTAAAGTCCAGTCCATTCTGGTTTAATGCCCAGTCCATTCTGGGTTAAAGCCCAGTCCACTCTGAGTTAAAGCCCAGTCCATTCTGGTTTAATGCCCTGTCCACGCTGGTTTAATGCCCAGTCCATTCTGGTTTAATGTCCAGTCCATTCTGGTTTAAAGCCCAGTCCACTCTGGGTATAGCCCAGTCCATTCTAGTTTAATGCACAGTCCATTCTGGTTTAAAGCCCAGTCCACTCTGGGTTAAAGCCCAGTCCATTCTGGTTTAATGTCCAGTCCATTCTGGTTTAAAGCCCAGTCCACTCTGGGTTAAAGCCCAGTCCATTCTGGTTTAATGCCCTGTCCATTCTGGGTTAAAGCCCAGTCCACTCTGGGTTAAAGCCCAGTCCATTCTGGTTTAAAGCACAGTCCACTCTGGGTTAAAGCCCAGTCCATTCTGGTTTAATGCCCTGTCCACTCTGGGTTAAAGCCCAGTCCATTCTGGTTTAATGATTTAATGCCCAGTCCATTCTGGTATAAAGCCCAGTCCACTCTGGGTTAAAGCCCAGTCCATTCTGGTTTAATCCCCTGTCCATTCTGGGTTAAAGCCCAGTCCATTCTGGTTTAATGCCCAGTCCATTCTGGTTTAATGCCCAGTCCATTCTGGGTTAAAGCCCTGTCCATTCTGGGTTAAAGCCCAGTCCATTCTGGGTTAAAGCCCAGTCCACTCTGGGTTAAAGCCCAGTCCATTCTGGTTTAATCCCCTGTCCACTCTGGGTTAAAGCCCAGTCCATTCTGGTTTAATGCCCTGTCCACTCTGTTATAATGCCCAGTCCACTCTGGTTTAATGCCCTGTCCACTCTGGTTTAATGCCCAGTCTATTTTGGTTTAATCCCCAGTCCACTCTGGGTTAAAGCCCAGTCCATTCTGGTTTAATGCCCAGTCCACTCTGGTTTAATGCCCAGTCCATTCTGGTTTAATGCCCTGGTTTAATGCCCAGTCCATTCTGTTTTATTCTGGGTTATGCCCAGTCCACTCTGGTTTAATGTCCACTCTGGGTTAAAGCCCAGTCCATTCTGGTTTAATCCCCTGTCCATTCTGGGTTAAAGCCCAGTCCATTCTGGTTTAATGCCCAGTCCATTCTGGTTTAATGCCCAGTCCATTCTGGGTTAAAGCCCTGTCCATTCTGGGTTAAAGCCCAGTCCATTCTGGGTTAAAGCCCAGTCCACTCTGGGTTAAAGCCCAGTCCATTCTGGTTTAATCCCCTGTCCACTCTGGGTTAAAGCCCAGTCCATTCTGGTTTAATGCCCTGTCCACTCTGTTATAATGCCCAGTCCACTCTGGTTTAATGCCCTGTCCACTCTGGTTTAATGCCCAGTCTATTTTGGTTTAATCCCCAGTCCACTCTGGGTTAAAGCCCAGTCCATTCTGGTTTAATGCCCTGTCCACTCTGGTTTAATGCCCAGTCCATTCTGGTTTAATGCCCTGTCCACTCTGTTTTAATGCCCAGTCCACTCTGGTTTAATGCCCTGTCCACTCTGGTTTAATGCCCAGTCCATTCTGGTTTAATGCCCTGTCCACTCTGTTTTAATGCCCAGTCCACTCTGGTTTAATGCCCTGTCCACTCTGGTTTAATGCCCAGTCCATTCTGGTTTAATCCCCAGTCCACTCTGGGTTAAAGCTCAGTCCAATCTGGTTTAATGCCCTGTCCATTCTGGGTTAAAGCCAAGTCCATTCTAGTTTAATGCCCAGTCCATTCTGGTTTAAAGCCCGGTCCACTCTGAGTTAAAGCCCAGTCCATTCTGGTTTAATGCCCTGTCCATTCTGGGTTAAAGCCCAGTCCACTCTGGGTTAAAGCCCAGTCCATTCTGGGTTAAAGTCCAGTCCATTCTGGTTTAATGCCCAGTCCATTCTGGGTTAAAGCCCAGTCCACTCTGAGTTAAAGCCCAGTCCATTCTGGTTTAATGCCCTGTCCACGCTGGTTTAATGCCCAGTCCATTCTGGTTTAATGTCCAGTCCATTCTGGTTTAAAGCCCAGTCCACTCTGGGTATAGCCCAGTCCATTCTAGTTTAATGCACAGTCCATTCTGGTTTAAAGCCCAGTCCACTCTGGGTTAAAGCCCAGTCCATTCTGGTTTAATGTCCAGTCCATTCTGGTTTAAAGCCCAGTCCACTCTGGGT